TGGCAAAGAATCTCTGAGCCGTTTGCGCCCACGATGATTATACTCAGGATTTAGTGCCTGATTAGCCGCCTCGGTTAGAATCGAAGGTCGCTGACCAACCGGAACATTTCGCTGAGCTTCCAGTTCAGCTAGTGCCGATGCTAGGATACCATTTCGCAAACGCGGCAATTCTGGACTATTACGATCTCTTGCTGACCGTAGCATTTGTAAGAAGAAAAATCCCAGAAAAAGCCGCAGTTCAACGAGGAATCTCAGAACAAGCCTGAATACAAAGGATATTCCAAGAGCAAGCCGAAATTCAAAAAAACTAATAAGAAAAGCCGAGAAATTTGCCATTAGAAAAGTGTTTTTTAGCAAAAATCATCGTTTCTGGGCAGAAGTTGTATGTCTTAGAATCGATGATTACAGTATTTCAGAGTAACAAGAAAAATATGAATAAATGATAATACTTGTCAAACCAGTGTGATATCGAAAAAGCTTCAAATTAGCCGGATGTTGTCAGCAAAAAAACGTTTTAATAGTAGTAGTAGAAAAAATCATGCAAACTGCAGCTAATTTAGTCGCTGCAAATTTTTTTTTGATCCAAGAATTTCCAGAGGAAAACTACCATTACAGAAATAAAGGCAGAAAAGTATATACAACCAACAAGTCGCAACATAACCATAAACTTCCTGAAAATATGTGTTTTTTTATAACAAAATCTTACTAGTTAAACGTAATGAAAACAGAAGCAACACAGTACACTAGGAGGTAGCCTTAGTTAAATACAATTTTCTGATTACATATGAAATACGCAGTTCCATCTTGTACTCACAATCTGACAAAAGCTGAAGAGCGAGCGCTGGCTGTGACGGAGACAGCGATGGAGCGAAAAATACTTATCATGTCTTTTCACGACTACATAAACAGTCAACTCGCTGCCAGATGCGCGACGTACAGGTTGTCTTTAGCGGCCAAACAAGAAAGTAAAATCCGATGGGCAGAGCATGATGCTCACTTTGCTGACAACCGGTCATGTCGCGCAGTAGTGAGTGGGCCGTCGAGAGCGAAAATGACTACTCATACGGCCCCCAAAAAGGTTGCTCACATACGTCGAATAAGCAGTGGTTAC